ACTACGGGAACACTAACCGTTGCGTTTCTGGGCATCGGTGTCGCTGTGGTTTCCATCGTCACTTTACTGAAAGCCGCCAATGTTCCCGGAGCGGTGAAAGCTGGAACCGTAGCCGGGGCCGCAGGAGCCACGGGGATAGCGGCGGGAGCAGTAGCGGTGAAGGCGGGGATCGTCACCGTTGGAGTGGCTGGTTCAGGTATCGCTGCAGCTATGTTGTTGAAGTCGCGGCTTTAGCCGGAGCGATCAGAACTATGAGAATGCCAAAGGTGCGGTGAAAAAGGCAAAGAAACATCAACACAAACTTTTAAAAAAGGAGACGAACGAATGTACTGATCAGGGAACAGACTAGTTTTTTTTTTTGTGGTCTATGTGTGATTAGCCTATTCAACTCAAAGATGACATGAGTGTTGTCTAAATTATGCATGGGGAGTTATCTCAAGTTAACTCAACTAGCAAACGACAACTTAAAGGATTAGTTCAATTTCAAATGAAAATTTCCTGATAATTTACTCACCCCCATGTCATCCAAGATGTTTACGTCTTTCTTTCTTCAGTCGAAAATAAATTATGGTTTTTGATGAAAACATTCCAAGATTATACTCCTTATAGTGGACTTCAACTGCTACCAAACGGTTGAAGGTCAAAATTACAGTTTCAGTGCAGCTTCAAAGGGCTCTACACGATACCAGACGAGGAATAAGGGTCTTATCTAGTGAAACGATCTGTCATTTTCTAAAAAAAAGAAAAGTATATGCTTTATAAACAAAAATGTGTGCCTTGCACTGCTCTGCGATGTGCGTTCATGACTTCACGTAATACGTAATTACGTTGAAAAGGTCACGCTTAACGTAGCCGGAAGTACCAAGAGACTAAAGTCTCAAATCCAAAGAGATTTTCTTTATAAAAGTTAAGACTCGTCCACGCCCCCCTAAAACGTCTCGTTCTAACACGCCCTAACATGTCTACATCACTGTAGGGATTTCTATCATGAAGGGACACTGATATGCCCCTATCAGCCATCATGAGGTTTGCTAATCACCGCAGCACATGACTCCAATATTCTGGGTCGACTTCCTGCCAGTCTTGTCGTCATCTACTCAGAGGAGTGATTAAAGACTAATCCAATCAAGAGACAACAAAGCTTTCTTTGTATCAAGAACTAAAAAGTTCTTTCACCATATAGCACAAACGAAACCAAAACACAAAATAAACTCCAGGCCTGGTCCTCTCTCGTCTTTCACTGTCGTCCCTCCTCCTTTTTATCCTTCCGGAGCTCCTCCGTGAGACTCGAGACCGGTGAGTGGCGCAGGTGTCGCGCATTCGCATTTACTCCACCGGCCTCACTCCGTTCCCACGGCTCTCGGCCCCGCCCCTCTCGTCACAGTGAACTAATCCTTTAAAATCTTTAGTTCATCTAATGAATAGAAATCAGTCTATTGAGTCTTAAAAGGTCTGTCTGAGCAACTAAAGATTTAGCATTTAACAATGCTAATCTTTTTTAACAATCCTCTTTCTTTCAGACTTATGTTTATTTTCAAAGCCTTATACACCATATGGGTAGTATTTGCCTCTTAAAACTAAAGGCAAACATGTATGCAGATAGACAAATATATTAAACAAGTTGCAATGAGATGCACATATACAGCACCTCAGCACACTCTTCTCAACCATGGTGAGGATCAACAAATGTTAAATCAGTAAAAATATGAACTCTGATCCACATGACAGCTAACTGACAGTGACAATAGTAACAGCAGCATAAATTAAGCCAGTAAAATTTTAAACAATAATAATATTTTAATAATAATTAACATTAAATGTTATCAAGCTGCAATGCATGCTGGGAACTTGTGCAATATTGTTCAATGTAAAATCGTTAGTTCAGATGACTCAATTTGAAAAGTTGGGAGAACATTTGGATATGTTCTGAACACAACTTGAGTATCTAAGTAAGGTAAACAAAACAACTTTTGCTAACGACATGTTTAGAGTATTTTTGTTTAGTTCTCACAAAACATTCAACTGACTTCTATTAAACTGTTTGTTCAGGCCACTTTTTTACATTGGTTAGTAGAACTTTTCGAAAGTTGGATTTTTTTTTACAGTGTGTAGGTTAAATGCTGCTACATTATACTATTTTTAATATAAAGTGTTGGTTTTATTGGTTGCAAATATAATATTAAAGACTGTTATTTATTATTTATAAGGTGCAGTGAAAATATCAACCCAAACGCTTAAAAGGAGAACAGTTGTAGGCTACCGATAAGGAGCAGACCGTTTTAGTCATCTAAGATTAAGATAAGATTAAATTATCTAAATCTATTTGTTGTTGCGATGTATGTTTAATGCATAGGATTTGTTTTTAATTCTCTCTGTATTATATGAGCATACAGTCATTATTTTAGGGTAGAGTGGGGGAACCCCCCCAACCCCCTCCCAATTTTTTTATTATAAATATGGACTGCGTTGACAAAAGTGATGTAGATAGAAGTATTCAGCGTGAAGCTTACACTGGTGACGTAGCCTATCTGAGAGAAAACAGATTTCACAGTAAATGATCTAATATTCAGCAGTAAGAAAAAAAAGTGTAAAGCTTGTTGTTCTGTAGAATCTCACAGTTATGAGAACCTGTAGATGTGGAGTACGTGTTATTTAAGAAAAACAATTATATTTTCAGAATGACACATTTTTTTTTCAAACATAATCTGTAGTCTGTTCAAACATTACTGTAGTTATTCTGTTCTGAACATCAGATCCTCTGTTTTTCCATCAAGTTGGTTGAATACAAATATTTAGTTTTTCAAAATGACCTCAAGGGGGGTGTTTTCCCCCACTCTACCCTATATATTAGCTATTATATATATATATTGTCATTAATAATAATAATAAAATATTTCTCACATCTCCTATTTGTGTACGTCTCTTTTTATTCTTCTCAGAAGAATATATGGCTGGATCTCTCATTGCATTCCAGTTCTCCTATAGGCCTTTAATTTCAGTGTACACTAAAAACGTAGTCATATTTTATCTCTTTATACTTTTACACATATGTGAATGTTCAGGTTGCTGTTCTATTATTGGTGAACTGTCTGTCCAGCAGTTGGCGCTCGTGCAACATTAATGAACTACCATAAACTCAGTGATAAAAGATGCCAGTATCTCTTACCATGACATTGGCTTTATTGTGCAGACATCCAGAAGAGGTTCCAAGTGCTGGTTCTCAGTTTTGTTGAAAGCATGTGGATTGAAAAATGACCCTTATAAGAATAACCGTAGCTTCTAGAACTATATGAAGGGAACCCGTATATGCAAATTTGTGCCTAACCTACTTAATTTAGACCAACTAAAATCAGTACCTAATAAATATAATAAATAATTCACATATCAGACAAAACATCCAGAAGAGGTTCCAAGTGCTGGTTCTCAGTTTTGTTGAAAGCATGTGGATTGAAAAATGACCCTTATAAGAATAACCGTAGCTTCTAGAACTATATGAAGGGAACCCGTATATGCAAATTTGTGCCTAACCTACTTAATTTAGACCAACTAAAATCAGTACCTAATAAATATAATAAATAATTCACATATCAGACAAAATTGCGTTGCAGCAATTCCTTTAAATTTTAAGGTATTTAGAGCAGCGCAACATAAAAATCTGAAAAAATAATTTTTGTTTAGTATTTTTTAGGCCTGTATAAGGCTTTTCCTTATTTTTATAGTTTAGATGGTGATTAAAAAATGACTCGCCATCTCTTCGTTGGACGTGCCTTTAGAGAGAAATGCATCTTTGCGGTTTACATAATGAAAGAGTTTTTGTTTTCAATTTTAATTATTTTGTTTTAAAGTAGTAATTTAAAGCTTTCTATAGAGTCCTGCAGAGCTTCAGCTTCCACTCTTCACACAAACGATTAGATATGCGCCTAATAGCGCACATTTATATCGTTTAAACATTTAAACTAACATTGTGATATGTTTGAACTGTTTTATATCTATAGATTTTATTTTAGGCAAGTCTTGATGATTTGAGAAGGCTAAATTGATCGAACATAGGCTATGATCAGCTCACTGTCTGCCGCTGGCCGCTTGGTAATTACTTAAAAAAAAACTTACATTTAACGAACAAAAAATGCCCCCCACGACCCCCCCACCACTTTTTGCAACATCTCGCGGCACGCACGGATGTACCTAAAGAAACATCTCCATTTGATAACAGATTCGTTGGTCTGTGTTAAATAACAGGCGATCTATCGCTGGAATGTGTTATGGCGAGCGCTCGTTGCTGCTGTTATCGGTTCTCTCTTGGCACTCGTGCACAATGCGCAGTCTTCACACAGACGATCGTACGCTTTGTTCTGGTAAAAGCACAAAACAAAATGCACACAAACATGTCCTTGCTCTTGATATACAATCACTGATGAACACCTTTGGTTTTAATGAGAGAAAAAAAAAACTACACGAAGGTGGATTAGAACTCAAACCCTCGAAAATGCTTGACAAAAGCTCTACCACTAGACCACCAAAGCACACATGCATGACTGACGCAAATTTATAGATGTATTCAGTTCTGTGAAGAATCTCGGTACTAATTGTATTTTATTATTAATACGTTTATTATTAATTTATAT